TACACAACTGACATAATCAAGTTATTACCAATTTTGGTCTCACAATACCATACCTAGTAAAGGATGGCATTGATCAAAGAGAAACTATAACACCATTACTTTGGCGTATCTACTATGATCTATTAATCAACTATATATACCATAAATACAAAGGATACACTTTTTCAGTTCAATGGCTTACACAACTCAATCCTAGAAGATATAAAAATAAATCTGCATCTATATTCATTTTGGCCTATATGGATGATACATTATAGCTTAGCTCATCTGTAAGCCAACTTCAACAAATAACTCAAATAGCTGCATCCTTCTATACAATGGCTTATATTAAAGTAAACCCACACAAATCTATTCTTATCTCAAACACTAACTCAACACCTCGAATCAACTTCATGAACTCTACTATTACTACACAACCTATATACACTTTATTTAAGTTCTTAGATTGCTGGTTCACAGCTACTTCTAAATATAACAAACAAATTAAACTTATCAAACAAGAGGCATTAGGACTCAATGATATACTTAAAACTAAGAATATAACAGATAAACAAGCCACCTACATTATCAACAATGTAATTATCCTAATTCTAAATATCGTATTCACAATATAGTAATTCCAAAAGCCATCTGCAACTCGATATTATCTTCATACCTTACTACAGCTAAACATAAAGCTAAATTACCTATTACAACACCTAATAGTATCATGCTTAATCACAATATTTATAGAATTAAAAATATCTGGGATATTCAACTACAACATCACATATTTAACTTCCTACTTAGAATCAACAACCCAAACCTTATGCATACTAGTACACACATAAGGCTTCAACAATTACAAAATAACTTATGGTCAACTACTAATATTTTTCAACATCCACAACCCTTAATTGACAGACCAAACAAGAATACTATCACATTTAAAATCATACAACTACTTAACCAACTTCAACTTAATATAAACATTCACACTAACTTTACACAAATTTATACACTTCAATATCCCTATACAACTATTGAAAAAATATTACACATACATAAACTTTACCTATCCTTCAAAAAACAACTACACACAAAAAATATTATATACCTTGAACAACTTACATCATATGATAATATATCACTACTTGACTGGTCACATATCTCACCACGACTATAATACATCTCTACAGGTCGTAAACCACTATGGTTTAAAACACTAGAAACCAAAATTATTACCGATCAACAAACCAGATTAATTAATACTCAACTACTACTATCAAATACAAACACTCTATCTTTCAGTATTGGTCATTATAAGACTAAATCTAAACCTTGGTTAATCTCATACAATAACAATAACATAATTCTAGGGAAAGCTAGAAAATATAATCACCATAACGACTCAATATCAATCACACACTGGCAAATTGAATTTGATTATTCCCACACTAATCTTTATTCACCACCTACATATATCTGTAAATCATGTACAGGATGTTCACTAAATTCTAACCAAATTAAAAACACATGCACATTAAATGTCTCAGCCAACTTATCTAACAAACTTTTATGCAGAAAAACAAACAACAATACTTCTAACAAATTTAAACTGCATGCTAATCTTCTGAACTCAATATACTCAATTGCATTATACAATCTAACTACAATACCAAGACTACCAACGGTTACAATCTATAATGATGCAGTATTTGAAATCTTTAAGAACAATCAACCTTCACAAACCCTGCAACAAATAGCAATGAATAATTCAGCATATATACAACTAACTTTTTATACAGATGGATCAGTTAGTGATATCACTACTGAGCGATGTACAATGGGTATAGGCTGGGTTCAAACAGCTAACAACATTGTATTACACAGTTATTCCGCTGCAATTCAACTTTGGTCCTCCTTCTACAAAGCTAAACTACTTGCAATCCTTTCTGCAATATGTACATGCCTACGAAACAGTAATATTACTATCTATACTGACTCACAATCTATAATATCCAAGTTCAACAAACTCACTCAACAACCACCTGGACCAAACAAACAATACTCATATAATTATTGGCTAATCTGGCATACACTCCTAAATCTTATCAAATCCTACAGATTAAAAATTAAACTTCAAAAAATCACAGCACACAGCAATAATACATTTAATGACCTAGCTGACAGTTTAGCCAAAAACCGTAATTACACAACTGATCTCGAATTCCTACACAACAATATTTATAATCCATCTTACTACCTACAATATACAACATATGCATTTGAGCAACCAACTCGTAGATCTATTAAAAACATCTGTAACAACTATATAATAGCATTATGGTCCTCCCAACACCGAATAGAAAACATTATACCCTTTGCAACACAAATTGATTGGAAGGCCACCTGGCTTTACTTAAACAACAATCAAAAAAAATCATCCTTCTATATCAACTTCAAACTCTGCTAAGAAAAAACTTTCAAAATTAAATTTATATTTAACATACTACCTACATTATCAAACCTACATACTCTATACCCCAATACTTCTCAGACATTAACTGCATTTTATGTAATACTTATGAAGGTCAAATGCACTGGCTTTTATGCTCAAGTGCACCTAATTTAGATACAATCATTACTAATACAATACAACAATATTTGCAAGCCTCTAAACTTGACATAACAAACACACAATGCCAAGAATTACAAAACAAACTTATCCATCATCCAAGCTTATCACTTAACCTCTATACCAGAACTAACACAAATATATTCACAACTCTACAAGGATTTATACCTATTATACTTATACAAACTATCAGAGAGTATACAGACTCTAACAAAACAACAACAAATATTACTATTCAACTGCTTTTACAACTATCTCAGAACATATACAACTTAATTTGGAAACCATATTGTGCAAAGTTATCAAGCTGGAAGCAAGAATGCAACATATCTACCTACATGAACAGAAATTGAACTAGACAAAACACAACACCCACATCTAATAACTCACGGTTAAAAATACCATATACTTACAGCTATAGCTGTGGGTTATCTAATCAACAACACATTGACAATAACTGTTCACCTCTTGGAAAAGCAATTAAAAAAGCATATACATAGTTAACTTCTTGGATAAAATTTAGCACACCCACTAATAATATAGAATCTAGGTGAGTTTTTAACCACTCTAGTAGGTTTAAGTTGCAGATAAATTAGATTTTAAAGTCTATAGTCTGAGTCTCATTCTTGTAAAAATATTTGTAAATTATTGGTCCTACCGACCAGAGAAACCCCTAGTGGATTCTCAATACAAATTATTAAATAAAGATAAAGGCAAAACCTCACCTTAAAAAAAAAAAAATAATAATAATGTTATTTTAATTATTATTATATAGTATTATTATATAAAATTATAATATTATCAAAAAATATTAAATCCTGTCTTTTTTCCAAGCAGAAACAACAATGTACTATATTTTTCATACCTTATCCTTTGATTATTTATACTATTTTTAAATATATTTAATCCTTCTTTTTGATTATTTCCTTGTAATAAAACCTTATTTTTTTGTATTTTTTTAGTAATAAACTGTATTTTTATAGTATTTTTATTGCATTTTTATTGTGAAATTATTGATATTTTTGATTTATATATTGATATTTTTGATTTATTTATTAGTTATTTCATAGTATTTTTGGTTTAATTTAAACTTTAGTTTTTTTTGTTTAAACATTCCTTAACCACTCTTATATATTAAATCAAATAATATATTTGTTTGAATTAACTGACAACAACACATTTTATTATTAAAAGATTTAATATTTAATTAATCCAAGCAAGCATATTACACTACTGTAAAGCTCCATATAATTAAAATGTTGCCCCAATTAGTGATCTGCAAGCCGGGCAGATGCCAATACCTAACGCTAACAAAAAGCAAAAGCAAGGTGCAAGAACAAAATCTTAGGTATGGGTCTAGGTATAGGTACAGACACAAAAATTTGGCACGGATATGAAGTACAGGCACAAAATTTGGCACGGGCATGAATAAAATGCCAGATAAAGTTGGCACTTTAGTGCCTGCCACATTTGTACCTGTGCCCTTATAGTGCCGGTTCATGCCCATAATGTGTCTAACAATTTTGTGCCTAGAGGCACAGGCACAGTTCAAGGCACTAGTGCTTGGCATGATGCCTAATATGCCTGGCATGGATCCCCAGCCCCGATCTGTTGGGTAAAGTGCTTGAGAAAAATTTTACGCGATCAATCAATCACGAGAAGTTATTTTATGTCCAATCCAATTGACACTGGATATCGGACAGATTTCCATTGTCTAAATTCCATTCATACCAATCCTGGTAAAAACTCCATATAACCGGTTTTTATAGCTGTTTTCATAAACGCTGGGACAGCTGAAAATTTCCAGTAACAGAATTTATAATTTACCGGTCAGAATCAGTAAATTACTGACTTCGGCTGACGTCGATTCAGTCATTGACAATTTTCAAGTGTCCTAGAATTTACGAAACGACCGTAATACAGATCTAATAATTTTCATAAATAGCCCCGACGGGTCTCTATATATAAGACAACGGCCCACGCAATATTCGCGTAACATATCTGTATACGATTTTTATTCCTCACCATAACGATGGGATCTAAATACTACTGGTGTTAGCGTAATTTAATTGGTTAAATTGTAAATTCGACTATTGCTGATACTCATGAACGTGCACATTCAAGAATTCGTAGTGCAAGAGTAATTGCGCCATTAATTGCTCTTTAAATTTTTCATATTGTAATTTATAAAATTTACCTATTTATTGAATGCAAAAGTCTGGTAAATTAAAAAGCTTCAAGTAAATTTCATGTTTAAAATTTATAAATATTTTAAAATCATTAGCAAACCTTTTACTTACATGGATTATTGTAGCATGATTATAAATGCCTTGGATTTTTGGATATTTTGTGGTTTGATAAGACATCAATGTAATTAAATTTATTATAAATTTACTTCAATCTTTGAAGCTGGAAGATTTGGACGTAACATGCTATAAAATTTTTGCTTGCAGGCGGTTGGTGACCTGTTTGATAGATTACTAGAAATTGTCTTCCATTCCCCTCCGTAAAGTTTAATAAGGTTCAGTAACTTATTTTCCTCATCTTTCGTCCATTGCATTGCTTTTGCTTTATTTTCGAATGTGCAAAGTTCATTAAAATCCTGACGATGCCAATCAACATATGATCTGATCGATGCGCATGTCCTTCCCGGAATAAATTTCGAGATTCTATGGTAATCCACACCGTATTCTTCCAGTAATTCCTTTAACAATTGTACTTCTTTTTCAGTCCATGATTTACCACTGCGATCTGGCAATGCCCAATTATCTGTACTAAGCGGATTTAAGTCCGGGAAAATGCTTCGATGCGAATAATAGTATTCCATACATTCTTCAATTGTTTTCTCGGGAAAGTTTTCCGCAATCTTTTTCCAATCGCTACCATGTAATTCAATAAGATTTGCCAACTTTAATATATCTTCGTCAGACCAAACTTTAGCTGCAGTTTTTTCAGCATTGGAATTTAATGATGGGACAGGATAAGAAAAAATTTGAGAATTTTCGTTCACAAGTTGCTGTACTTCGCTGGGGTTTTTGTGTTGCATTTTTTGTGAGATAAATTCCCAGTCTGAACCATATTTCTGAACTAAATCTTGCACTCGTATTATGTCCTCAAAATTCCAATCTTTATCGACTTTCATGAATACCTTTGTCATCATCTGATATTTATAAAAACACCCAGACGGTAATCTACCAGGAAGGCCTTCTGAGATCTTACGCCAATCTGTACCATATTGTGATTTTAATTCCAAAAGCTTCCTTATTTCCTCTCCTGACCAAGGTTTTTTTATATAAAAATGTTGTTGGATTTCATAGAGATCAACCTCGTTCTCTTGTCCTTCAATGTAATAAAGTTGGGGATTTGTCCTTACATGAAATTCAATCGTTTTTATTTGCTTATGTGGAAAATAAGATTTTATTTTTTTCCAATTTCGACCATATTTTTTCACTAGGTCTTTCAAAAGAGATATTTCTTGATCTTTCCATCCTCGTGTAAGAGTTGTGTTGCGTACATGGCGATTCATAGGTGAAATGCCGGGTAAAAGAATTGGGATTATTTGCCATTTTCCATATTTTGATATTAAGAGGTCTAAAAGCTGAACTGCCTCTTGTGGCCAACTGTGTTTTACCAATTCAGTTTTATTTAATGACGGTTGCCAACAAGAATGATATTTTTCTTTACATGCATATGCAGTTCTCCCAGGCAACCTGCTTGATATTAAAGACCAATCATTACCATATTGCTCAACAAGATCGTTTAATAAACGAGTCTCACGTTCTGACCACGGACTCGAGATCTTGAACCACTTTGAGATTTTCACGTTATGAAATGTTGATAGTCTATGCGGATGATGTGGCAATAACCGAAACACGGATCCTGATAATCTACTAGATATTCTTTGTGAAATTGAATTACTATTGGAGCAATATCTCTTAAATAAATTATCAAGCAACTTCATTTCGCTATCAGACCATGATTTAGTTTTATTTAATTTGTCTGAGAATGTTAATAGTGAAGGAAACCTATTTAAATTTTCATATACAAATGTTTCTATTGACTCTGGCGTCTTTGACGGGAATTGACTCGAAATCAATGACCATCTACAACCATATTTTTCGAGTAAACCGTCTATAAGTTTACACTCTTCTTCGGAGAAAGCTTTTTTGGAGTCAGCTTTAGTGTCTTTTGTCTGTATGTTTTCTACTTCACGAAGCTCACGATAGTATAAAGGTAGGGAATAATATTGAATACAGCATTCGCCAGCCTTTCTACCAGGCATGTGTTTAGCGATTTTCTCCCAATCTTGACCGTGTTTTTTAACAAGAGTTTCTAAAACTTTTAATTCTAACCGTGACCAGGGGCGTAATAAGTTTCGTAGCACTTTCATTTGTCACTGTTAACAAATAATTAAAAAGTTTTAGTCCACAATATTTTAACAAGAATAATGTTTCTAGTACTGAAAAAAGTCGCATTACTTAACCGAAGCCTTTCGTATCAATTTTTCTGAGCGATATCCGATTTTCAAAAATATTTATTGATATCTGATATGGTCATTTACCAAGATTGGCCAATCAGAATGCATGATTTGGCGTAACCCAATATAACGTGATCAGTAACGTAACTTCCCGGCGAACATGTTTTTTGTTTACTTACCGACAGGTTGGCCAAATTTGTGTTCAGGGCATGCCCCTAGAGTAGGATGGTTAAGTTCCTAGGTTCGGAAAACCCAGGTTCCAATTTTGGAGCCTAGGTTCATGATAGGTTCTTAGGTTCATGATAGGTTCCTAGGTTCATGATAGGTTCCTAGGTTCATGATAGGTTCCTAGATTCTTAGGTTCATAATAGGTTCTTAAGTTTTAGGTTAATGATAGGTTCTTAGGTTTATAATAGGTTCTTAGGTTCATAATAGGTTCTTAAGTTTTAGGTTAATGATAGGTTCTTAGGTTTATAATAGGTTCTTAGGTTCATAATATGTTTTTTAAATTCATGATAAATTTTTAGAGAACAATAAGAAAAGGTATATTTACTGTAGAAAGATCATATATTTTATTTGGGCTCAAATTTAAAAATGTTTTAAAGAGGGTATGCACTTATAGAGGCACATTTATTGAGGTTTCACTATATTGGACCCAAGTGAAAACATGAAATGCTGTGAACGAAGTTATATGGCATTCATTTGTCACAAGACAGTGACCCAGGCCCATGACATCGAGGTGACGACTGATGTTGTTGGATATGTAAGTATGAGGTCATGGGAAATAGCTATTTAAGAGGAGAGGTGTGGGAAATTGTTCTCTCTCTTTTGTCTTTGCTGCTAGCTCGACGAAAGTCCAGCTTTGTCGTTAGTACCACGTGGTCAAATACAAAATAGAAACATGAACAAACCAAATGGTATTAGTATAAGATGGAAATCACTTACGGGGGTGCTACCAGTTGCAGTAATCTCAGAAAATGGTTCAAGGAATGGTTCGGAAGAGGAATTGTATCTGGGGTTAAAAGTATACTGGACTGTTTGCCGTAGAAGCATTTAAGTTGCTGTGTAATAGTGAAGGTTTGTGGGAGGCTGGAACTAAAAGGGTTTTTAGTTGAGAGGTTAGCAGGGAGAGTAGTTAGTGAGGCGAAAGGAAAGGGTAGCATGGGGAATAGTGTCGAGATAGGAATGCATGGAAAAGGGAAAGTGGTATTGGTTTAGAGGGTGTGGCTTTTGAAGATGGTTTTAGAAAAGGATGGTAGCAGGTAATGGAAGTGTTGGAGTGCAAGAGTGGGTAGCACCTGATTTGCAGTATATGGTTTTGAAGAGGTCTTTAGCAAGCGACATTGCAGGCAATAGTTAGAAGTCGTTATAGGAAATTAAAAGGAGTGTTCAGATGATGAGTAGTACAGAAGTGAAGAGGTCCATGGAGTTGGTCCTGATTATTTCAAGGAGGTCTCAGACCGTATATCCCGAATAGGTTCTAGGGTTAAAGATAGATGGTCGGTAGCAGTGACGTGAGGAGGGGTGTTGTTGACTTAAATTAGTAACATCGGAGGATAGATTCAAGGGCAATTATGCTGTAGTTGGGATGGTGAAAGCAAGAGCATTGGTAGGAATAGGTTTTTGAGGGGTTATACGTAAGCCAGATAAATTGAGAATCTATGCACACTGTGCATGTATTTCGAGAGTGAAGGAAAAGAGAATGCAATTCGATTCTCTTGATGATCCCATATGTGTATTTCATAGTCATGTGGTTGGAATAGGTCGAGTAACAAATGAAATGCTGT